TAAGACTCTGAGAGTGTGGACAAAGGTGGATGGCATAGAAGTTTTTCAGAATACTGATACCTTTCCAATAATATAATGTACACATAATTATTCGTAACATCTCTCTTCTCCAGTGATTCTTTATATCTAACGTAAATGTCTCCCTAATATGTGTTATACAGTATATATTATATTACATATAATATGTAGTATAATGTATATATTTTATAATACATACCTTATATATAATGTATACATTATATTATGTATACACGACATACACTGTATAAAATGCATCTAATATATATTATATAGCTAAATAATATTACATCACACAATATATATAAAACATATAATGTATATATTATACATTATATTAGGGAGACATATCCTGCTGCCTCCAGCGAAGAATCACTAGGTACAAGGAAAGATATTACAAATGAATATAATATGTATTGCATATGTCAACTGTTAGGCAAAAACAAAAAATAACCTACTTTTAAAGCATATGTGAAAACACAAATTGGACCCCTTCTTAAAGTATTTAATGAAACACATTTACAAAATACCCAAACATCAAGGAAAAACAGCAAACGTTTTGTACAATAATCTGGGTACTAATTCTATCTATATAGGAGATGACAATCTCTGCAGTGGAAATGACTGGAGCCCTGGATCTCATTAGGACAAGCCCCCACTTTTCTCTCCCCAGTCAGTGTCCCCAGCACCTGGCATGTGATCAGGGATACACACAAGTTAGGCAAGCAAACACCAGAGTCGGATTGTCTGGGTTTGATGTCCAGCTCTATCACTCTATCCCAGCCTATGGCCCCGAGTGAATTACCTGGCCTTTTTGTGCCTCAATTTTTTAATCTGCAAAATGGCACCTATTCCATAAGGTTGTTTTATGAATTAATAACAATGGTAACAACTAATACATGTAGCAGTTAACCTTGTGCCAGACACTTCTCAGTACTTTTCATTTATACCTATTTATTCATTTAATCCTTCCCCAAACCTTATGAGACAGAAACTAATATCCCAATTGAAAGATGAAGAAACTGAAGCTCAGAGAAGTTAGTAACTTAATCAAGGACCCACAACTCATAAATGGCAAAAAGAATTCATGTTCCCAACCACTCCATCATCCTTGAGATAACAAATGTAAAGGCTGAGTACAGTGCCTGGCATATAGCACATGTTTAATAACTAGTATTTATTAATAAGTATTTGTCAAACGTTTGCAAGATTCTGAGGTTACACCAGGGCTCGGCAGGAAAGAATGCTGTGATCAACTGGTGAGGTGTTCCGTGGATGTGGAATACGTGTGTGATCACACTATGCCCCAGGTTTACGATTCCTCTTCCACATAAAACAAAGAATCCTGATGTCTGGCTGTCTGATGTTTTCCCTTCTTCATCTCAGTGTCTCTGGGATCTTATGTCAGGCTGTCATTATCTGACATCACATTTCACCTCCACTCTCTCCTTCTGTTAACCCACTCACTCCCCATCCAACTGCCAAAGTGCTCTTCCCAAAAGATGCTTTCATTACGTACTCCTTTCAAGGAACCTACCTTGAATTGGCTACTTGATCTAAATCAAAATTCCACCCCCTTGCTTTCAAGGGACTTAATGAGACATGGAAGGAACATGCCTTTAACTCTAGTTCAAGGGCTCAGGTGCCTACTTATCAAATGAATACTTGATAAGAATGGCCATGTTTCATTATGCAGAGAATAGCAGTAGTGTTTGTGTTACTTCACAACAGTAATAAGCAATTTTTAAATTTTATTTATTTTGGACACAGCCCAACAGGAAAACCTTTTGAAATGTTTAAGGATCTCATTTGATTTTTATTCAGGATGAAACAAGCTTGATTGGAGGACAAAAAGGGAAGAATATCAGAGAAAAATCTGCATTATTATATGCACCATAATGTTAATATCCAGACAAATTTCAGTCAGCTTTCTAATCGTTCATCCTGAAATTAGATCATGAATCATAATCACAGGGTAAACCTCCAATGACTGGGGACGTTAAGTCGGAGCTATTTAAAAAAAAAAAAAAAACGGAAGGCATAACACTCTTCATATTCAAGATCATACAATGCACTCATTTATTCTGAAAGGCTAGCTAGAGCTAATCAAAACATACGAATTACTGGTGTTTATATCAAGGGGCTGCTTTTAATAAATACAAGTTACTCAGTAGCCAGTGGTCTGAATTAATGTCTGTAAGCCAACCACATCAATGGACAAACATAACGTGGATTTAATTTAAAATTTAGAAAGAAAATCAAATATGAACTTTGAAGACTTAGCAATTTGCCAAAAGTTTAACTGGCTTTTCTACTCAACATGAGGAGATGAAGGATTGTACTAGAAGTTCATCTAATTTGCTTAGAAATGCAACTAATTTCTGACAAAAGGCATATCCAGATGTAGCCACATCTAGATCATTCCTGAGTTGAACATTACGATGTCAACTCAGGATTTCTGAATGTACACTCAACACATCCAACTGGACAATTCACATGTTCAGATAGCTGAAATAAGCAAGTCAGTAAGTACCAATACAGTGGTTTTTTCTTTGTTTGGTTTTGTTTTGTTTTAGCGGGATCGTTATTGTTCCTTCAGTTGAGGAAGTTGGTCTTAGTTGACTATATCAATTGGCTCCAATTTAATGAAACATTTGATGATTCATATAAAGTTATGGCTAAAAATAATCAGTACTAGAACAGGTGATGTAGTAAGGTTGGGAAGATTCTAGAATTGGTATTCATTTAACAAATATTTAATGGGCAGCTGAGATCCATTAGCCCTCAGGGGTAGAGAACTGACTCTCACATTTTCAAGGATGACCATGAGTCATTTCTCGTAGTTTCAATTGAAGCTACTCCTAAATCTTTCACAGGGGAGAGAAAAAAATGCTAGGATTAGACAGAATCACAAACCCAGTGGTTTATAAGTGTGTCTAATTGGTAAATGTATCCTCCCTGAAGGCACATGGCATTTTCTGGGCAGCATCTACTATTTCTTCTACCCCTCCGATCCTGAGCAAGAATTACCAGGTTTTGCTTCTCTATAAAAGGCAACCTCGCTCTCTGGATTGTAGCTGTAAGTAGTCTTGGGAAGAGTCCTTGAAGGAGGAATGTGATCGAACTGTGTTAAGACCTTTGTGCCGAAAGTAAACAGAGGTAACTATTACTAACAATTCTTTATTTTTTATCAGTCCTTCTCAGAAGCTAATCCCCAAAACAGTCTCCTCTCCAGGAAATAATCTCTCTGCTGAGGACACCCTTGGGACCACGATGCTCCCACTTCTCCCTCCAAGCCTTTCAATGGGAATGAGTCCTATAAAACAGAGCAAAAGTATGCAAGAAACTGGCCCTAAAGACCACAATATGGGTAAAGGACTTGGATTCTCTGCCTGCTGATTTAAATGGTGCGTATGTTACAAAAGACTGTAAGAAAACACGTTTCTTCTTAAAATTCCCAAGAACCAGCTAATACATAAATTACAGGTGAAGTAGTATGTTCAAGAGCAGATTCCCAAGAGGCAAGCAATTTGCTGTATACATGCTTGAACAGAAAACAAGCAGCCTGTTCATTTTCCAGGGAGATTCTAATAACATTTCATGCCTTTGAATGAAGATGTAATGGAGCAAACGGTAAACAAGAGGTACCTACTTCCCAGTGCCTTCCCAAAGGCATTGACTCAGTATTAAAAAGAAACATAGATATTTACAGTGTAGCTATAAAATGTCTACAATAATAGAGTCACAGAGTACATTTTTTATACGTATATATTTTAAAACAGAGTACCTTTTTGAAGTTCAATTTAGCATCCATCCCACAAACATAAGACTGCCAACTGAAACAAGATCTGGAAAAGCATAGAAGATAGTGGCTTAAACTCTGTGTAAAACAACCATAGAAAACTACTCCCCGAAACTTGAAACAGAAAATCAAACATTCACGTGTAATTGAATGGCTGGAACAAATCTGCCATATTGACCTTGACAGGGCCTTGAATCATGAGATCATAAATCAGCATCCTGGTGATATCCATTATAAACTTAGAAATGCCTTAAAACCTAAGACTTCATTTTATTCTCAGTGATTAGCAAGATGTTTGGAAAGCACTGTGCTCTCTGGAGCTTACTTTGAAAGATTCAAAGATTCGAACACCGATTTCCAGAAGGCCACCCCCAAGCCACCCAGACACTTAAGATTTTCTTCAATCCTCTCGATCAGCTTCTGTTTCCTGAATTACTTATTGTTTATTTATTTATTTTCAAATTTCAGTAATTACAGCACCTTAGGCTCTTGGCTATCAGCGGTGTGGCTTGTTTCAGAGAGTTCTGGAAAATTATGTTTTAGTGACATTCCACTTCTTTGTGTGTTTCATTAAAGGCTCTCCGTTAAGGCTTATAAATTATTCAGGTGAGGGAAAATGCCTTATGAGTGGCTCATAAACGGCGTAACAGTGGCTCATAAACGGCGTAACAGTAAGCATCATCTAGAAAGGCATGACACACGGTCCTGAAAGGACGCCTGTTTTTCCAACCGGCGCCCCTTCCCTCCCCACACCACGCACCCCCAAAGACAATGCGGGGGGTCTCTCTGAACGCCGACACCATCTCCGAGGCCGCGCCCCAAGCCTAAACCAGAAACACCCGCGTGGAGGTAGATCACTGCGGGCGTCCCACCCTGCCCCCAGGAGCCACGGCTTCCTGCTTTCCCCATCAAGGTGAAACTAACCCCTCGGAGCCCGCTGGGAGGCGGACAGAGGCAACGCAGGTTGAGGCAGCCGACCGCAGGACTCGCAGGAAGGAAGTGAGCGGCCGCAAAGCGCATTTTCCTCCCGCGGAGCAAGCCCGGGACAGGACGTCGCCAGCGGAAGAGGGGCCGGCGCGCGCCAGGCCACCGGGCACACGCGTCCGCCGTGCACACTTGCGTGTGCCGGTGCGCGCACACACATACACACACACGCGCGCGCGCGAGCGCGCCTACTCACCAGCAGCCCCTGATGTCCGGAGCCCGCGTGGGATGGCGACTGCAGCGGCTGTCCCCGCGCCTGCCGTGTGGCCTTGGCATCCGTCTGGCCGCTGCAGCCCGGGCAGCGGTGGCTTTTGCTAGAAGGCACTGCAGTAGGGTGATAGGGCACCCAGCGAGCAGGCGCCCGCTCCCTTCACTCTGCCGACCCTCCTCCGCTTCTCTGCGGACTGATGGAGCTTTGCTACATTCACTCGTTTGGCTTCTGTGCGTTCCTCTCTTCCTCCTCCCCTTCGCTGCCGTAGCTCCCCAGCGCCCAGCGCAGAGAGCTCCCTCGAAAACCCACGCGCAGGCCTGGCGATCCCGAGCCTGCAGCAGCCGTCCCTGATGCCGCCGCCGCCGCAGGAAAATAAACTGTCACTGCGATGGTCCCGGCCTCCTCTGCCCCGGCCCCTGGGTGCCGCCTCCGCCTCTGCCTCCGCCCCTTCCTCGGCGGCGGCCTCCCGTGTTCCGCAGAAAACGCTCGCGGGTGGAAGCAGGTCCCCGCGGTTCGGCCTAGAGCGAATGTGAAACAATCGGGTGCGACTTTCTCTTCTGAAACCCTGCCCGTCCCCTTCTCAGCCCAGAACCACGTGAACTCTCATTTCGCTCCACCATCAGTTTCACTGAGGGGGACCAGAGTGGGTGCCTTTTAAGTGCACACGTGAGGTGATACAGCTGGTTTGACCGTGAACTCGCATCGCAGTCAGAGGAAGGATAGGGTTTTCGTGAAAATCCCACTTACACCGTATTAGGAATTCCACCTTGAGATTTATCCATAACCCCCCCCCACACACACCGTGAAACAGTTTAGTCCTCCTCCCCTCTCCCTGCTCTGTGTCCTGTGGTAATGCAGGCTATTATGATATCTTTGGGATATTATATTATTATCATGTGCATTGTTTTTAGTATGGTCCTGGCACTGAGCCAGGCACTCTACATGAAATCTTATTTCATCCCCTCCACAGCCCTTATAAAGGGTACTCTTACTTTTCCCATGACCGAGGCACAGAGGAGCAAGGTAATTTGTCCCAGGTGACCCACCTGGAAAGTTGTAGAAGTTAAGATTTAAATTCTGATCAGATACCAAAGGCTATTCCTATTGGCTTTTAATGTGTAAATCTCTGAATGTGTAAACATTATACAAACACTACTACTTCTGAGTGAAATGCAGACATTTTTTTACTTTTTCTGAGTTTGGTTGGGAGGTTACTTCCAAGAGAGGGAAGTGACTGCAGAGAGAGGAAATGGAACATGAACTTTTTCTAACCTGCTTTTCTTCAGGAGACCAAACTTCTAGCCCTGGTTCTGTCACCAAATGAGCTGTTTGGCCTAAGGCATTTCACCCTCTTAGGGCTCATCTCCCTGCACTGGTTTTTGAAATGGAGAGGTCTGGCTATTACAGGCAGCCTGCAGCCTTGATTTTTAAGAAGCAGTGGTATCATTGTTTTTTCTAATTTTGAATTTGAGTCTAAATTTTAACAAAAATTCAGACTTTGGGCATGTGCTGGAAAGTTGGAAGGACTGGCAACTTTTGCTTCATGGTGGGTTCTAGCAGCCATCAGCTAGAACTAAGTAGTAGGTGTATCCTTTAGACTGGGAAGATGCTCTTCAGTTTTCCCCAGTCCCCACCACTCCTATATGCCCCATCCCCTGACATTGAGGATATGGTAGACATTTGAGTGTGTAGTTCAGAACTAGATAATCTCATGACCTACTAGACAATCTAAAATTCAGTGATAATTAAGAAGATTAATCAGGGGCTTCCCCAGTGGCCCAGTGGTAAAGAATCCACCTTCCAATGCAAGGGAGGCGAGTTAGATCCCTGGTTGGGGAACTAAGATCCCACATGCTGCAGGGCAACTAAGCCTGCATGCCACAACTACTGAGCCTGCACACCTCAACTAGAGAGACCACGTGCTGCAAAACTACAGAGCCCACATGCTCTGGAGCCTGCGTGCCACAACTAGAGAGAGAAAAACCCTCATGCCACAACTAGAGAGAAGCCCATGTGCTGCAACGAAAGGTCCCACGTGCAGCAATGAAGATCCCGCGTGCAGCAACTAAGACCCCAGGCAGCCAAAGAAAAAAAAAAAAAGATTAATCAGATTCCTAAAAAGTATTATGAAATAAAGAATGCACATAAATATTTATAGTGGTCATTGATCATAGACTTGTTGCCTAGAATCCCAAACTCTCATAAAAGGCAAAATAGCTCAGCACTCACTGTCTCCTCCCCTTAGCAGCTAGCATCATGGGACCTAAGTTCAGCCAATCAGAGTCTCCTACCCAAGTCTCTGAATCTGCAGTCTGATTCAAAGGGACCTTTTAGAAATAATACCATTATCTGTGGAGTAGCTTTCGTGCCCATAGACAGCAGTGCCAGCAGTGAGAGGTGGGACTGTCCAATGGCAGTACCAGTGGTGTCCTAAGTGGGCTGCTTGGGTGGTGTGGCCTGTTCTGATTCCAGCTACCAAGCTGCCCTGCCTGTTTCATGAGCCGGATTCTCCAACCTTTCTGTCTCTTTGGTATTCTATGTAATGGCCTTCCAAGACATTTCTCTTCTGCTTAAGTTAACCAGAATTGGTTTTCGTGTTTGCCATGAGAACTCTGACACAGTGAGGTTGGGTTGATCCAAGCTCTGCCTCCCTTTCATTAACTGAATTAGTGAAAAGTGGGCACAGAAATATTTATACATCTTTTATCTTAGAGAATTTTAAAGTGTTCTATAATTTTGCTTGCACTTTTAAAGATTCTATTTCAATATAAATTCCTTTAAAAGATAGATTTTTTTTGCCTTTATCAATTATATTAACAAAGATTGTATATAAATAAACATTGCCCATCAATACTGGTGAGGATGCAATGAAATGAGCCCCCTCATCTGGTGGTATAATTTGGATACGCTGCCAGGGAAGGAATTTATCAGTATGTTAACAGAAGCTGTAAAATACACACATCCCTTTGCCCAAAGTAATTTCACTTCCAGGAAGCAATGTATCCTAAGGAAATCTGAAATGAGGAATCAGATTTTTCCACTGGGATATTTATCACCAACTTTGGGCATTAGAGTTATGTTTATGATGAAGCTGCTTATGATACAATGTTAAATAAATAAGAACGATACAAAACTGCAAAAACATATAATCTCAAATAGGTAAAAACACAGGGAAAACATCTAGGAGAATTTATTAAAATTATCCCTAGAGATTTGTTATAGGCAATTATAATTGCCTTCTTTATACTTTACTGTAATTTAAATTTTCTATAAAGGGCATGATTTCATCTTCTTTAAGGAAAAAAAGATTTAATAATTAAAAATAAACAATATTGGAAGCCAGAAAAATATAAGGTTGTATCTATCACAGTGCCTCATTCAAAATAGGTACATAATAAATGTTTGAGAAAAGGACAAAGGTAGGAATAAAGAAGAGAGAGAGGAAAAAATGAAGGACGCACTATTTCACAAAGAAGAGTGATGAATTAAGGGACTCCCCTGTCTTTTGTTTAGTTGATGGTACATATAGAAACAAGACATTACATTCTAAATTGCTTTATTAAGTAATGCTGCATTTGAGTATTTCCCAAGTGCGATAAGTGGCAAAACATTAATACCTTTCTCACTGTATAAGTAACAGGGAGTCAGCACTCAGAATTTTCTGCCGTTCCACAACATCAGAGATAGATCTGTTCAGAGAAGCTGGATGAGCACAGGGTGCTGGTATTCAAGAAAAAGAGGCAACCTCTTGCCTCTGATTGGCCATCACATGGAGGTCTGCCACTCTCCTTGGGGCACCCAAAGTCCACGAGTTTGGAGTAGTCTTTATTCTCCCCATCAGTCGACATCCTAAGAGAATCTTATTTGTTGGAACTGACTGTACCAGGAGAAAGTGGGCAGTGTTGAATTTACATTGATTGAGGAACTGAAATTAATTTGTACCCTCCTGTAATTGTTTGGTGTTTGCACATAAAATGGTGCTCCTTGGGGAAATAATCGCCCTTACAGGAGGTCCTTGCTGAGACCAGATGGACTGGAGTTCTTGTTCTTTGTTTCACAGATTTAGAGTTTCCTGGCTCTGGATTATCTTTAAAATCAAGGGGGAAGGGCTTCCCTGGTGGCGCAGTGGTTGAGAGTCCGCCTGCCGACGCAGGGGACGGGGGTTCACGCGCCGGTCCGGGAAGATCCCACATGCCGCGGAGCAGCTGGGCCTGTGAGCCATGGCCGCTGAGCCTGCGCGTCCGGAGCCTGTGCTCCGCAACGGGAGAGGCCACAACAGTGAGAGGTCCGCGTACCGCCAAAAAAAAAAAAAAAAAAAAAAAAAATCAAGGGGGAGAATGAATTAAAATACCCAACTCATTCTATTAGAAGAAAAATTCATCTCATAGGTTGTGTACTTAAAAGCATGTACCTCAGAAATTACTATATTCTTAAAAACATGTGTTCTTAAAACTCTACGGTTTGCTTTTGTTTATACCAATAATTCTCAAAGTATGGAAGTGACCCTTGAAATCTTTTCAGACAGTCAAAACTATCCAGTCTACTCAGCAAGGTCAAAACTGTTTTCATGAAAACACAAATCCATTCTTTGACTTTTTTTTTCATTCTCTCATGAGTTTGCAGTGGACTTTTCCAGAGCTACATGGATGACGTTGCCACAGCTAGAATGCAGGTGCAAGTGTGAGAATCCAGTCATCTCTTATGAAGCCAGATGTGAAAGAGATTTGTAATAATATAAAACAGTGCCAATTTTCTCACTAGTTTTTGTTGTGTCTGGGAAAAATATCATTATATTGTAATGAAAATGAGATGTTTAGTTTAACGTGTAATCAGTTTATTATTTTTAATAGATTGGTAAATATTTTAAGTTTCTCTATATTATTTTCTAGTATAGTAAAAAATGGATAGATATAACTCACTTAAATGAAAGCTCTCCAGAGTCCATGATAGTTTTTAAGATTAAGACTGTATAGGTGCACACCTGAAACTAACACAACACTGTAAATCAACTATACTTCAATAAAAAATAAATTTAAAAGAAAAAGACTGGGGGCTTCCCTGGTGGCGCAGTGGTTGAGAGTCCACCTGCCGATGCAGGGGACGCGGGTTCATGCCCCGGTCCGGGAGGATCCCACATGCCGCGGAGCGGCGGGGCTCGTGCGTGAGCCATGGCCGCTGAGCCTGTGCGTCCGGAGCCTGTGCCCCGCAACGGGAGAGGCCACAACCGTGAGAGCCTCGCGTACCACACACACACACACACAAATAATAATAATTAAAAAAAAGAAAAAGATTGTATAGAATCCTGAGACTGAAAAGTTTGCAAAAACCATTAATATGTGCCATTAAGGAACTAACAAGCTCTGAATAACCTATTTTTTCCTCAAACCTCGTTGAGGAATTATAACTGTGGCAACTAGCCTGTGTCAGCA